TTATTTTATTTTATTTTGCATCTACCGTACACTTTCTTAAAGGGCAATCAGATAATGGGTATGTTTTATGTAATTAAAGAGTTCACTGTAGTGGCTTTCATTTAATATGGCTGTCTGGGAGAACAGGGCCTCCTTGCCCTGTACAATGTAATTTAAACTTATGACATTTTTACTGTGTATAATATGGTGTCCTCTGTGCCAGTTTTGTACCTTATAATAGAGGCAGATTGCCTCAGATCGCTGTGGTTCTTATTATCAAAATTAAGTTTACTTGTATACTAAACAACCACAAGAAATTTGATTCTGTAAAGAATCCTCTTTAGCTGTGGCCTGGCAGTATATATATGGTGCTTTATTTAACAGAATACCTGTGGAGGAAATAAAGCACACTTGATGTAAAATTAATTGTTTTATTTTTATTGACATGATCAATTGCTATTCTGTGCACTTCATTAAACTGATTGTGATGACTTTTCATTTGTTTATAATACGTTGCTTCAGTCTTTGATTTCTCATCAAAGACAACTTCAAAAATGGAACAGCCGCAGAAACGATGAACAAATGTATCTAACTGCTGTAAATCTCGGTCATTTTCTGGTTTACTTTGCATGAATGTTCAGTCACACGGTTCAGAGGGATTGGTGGTTGTTTTACTTTTTTCCCTTGCTGTGTTAGAAGATGAAACGCTGTCAGAAGCCAGCGGAACTTTTTATTTCCTCACTTTTAAACCTGTGTTAGTTGTGGTTTTCTCCTGCACCGTTTGCAGGAGAACTTGCCTTCTTGACAACTCCTGCACCCCAGAAATGCTGGAATGCCTTTGTCACCTCTCCCTGTCACGTCTCCTCCTGGTGTTTCTGAGCAATATCCATTTCCTATGTGACCTTTTGGACTGTCAATGATACTGGTTTTAATATCCAATTAAACTCCATTTTCAGCTTCATTTTCCAGTTGCTTAGTTCATTTGGTTTTCTACTGTCTTCATAATACATCTTGCTCTTTTTTCTCCCAAATCCCGTCATTGTCTACCATTTAATGTAGTTTAGCATCATTTGCTTCCTTGTGATTCTATTACGTGATGCTTTTGTGCCTTCTCTTACTATATGAATCTACTCTCATTTGTTTTACCTTCTGTAATTGATAATTTCTGTATATTACCCTTTATTAGCACTTTATTCCTGCATTTTCAGACACTTAGGTTGATGCTACTGAGTGCTCACACTGGTCTCCTTGTTATTCAGACATGAAGTAATTACGTTTTAACTCTCTTTAGGAGTAATTTTTTTACCCTTTCTGATCAACCTCTCCATAGATTGTGACTTCAGAGAATTCATCAACAGTTTGTGGCCAAAACTTCTACATAATGAAGATTAGAATTCACCTGTCAGGTGTTCTACTAAGCCTCTACTACTTTGTGCTTGGGTAAAGAAGCCTTTAGGAACATACTCCCCATCAATCTAAAAATCTTCAAGAGATGAAGCAGCCATTATAACCCTCTGGTGAGTAGAACGAGTTAATTAATTACTCCTATTAAAAAAGAAACAGCTGGGTTTTGGTATATTGTTCGACTTGAGCCTGCTGTTGCCTTTAGCTTCTGACACAGGATGATACCACATCTAATTCTGTTACTGACGAGTGGGATTCTGTCTTCAGGTAGGTGTTTTTATTTCAAACACCCTTTTAAAAGTACACCAAGTATAAACAGTATTTAATAATACTGTTTCATCTATTATTAATTATAATAATATATTTCATACTTGTGTACAATATCTTGTTTCATATTGTATTGTGTACTGTGTATCATGTACCATATATTATGTGATAATGTATATAATTTTTTATCATTATCTAATTGTAGGTATTGTTATATATACAATGTAATGATACAATACTATTTTAATTATAGTATATAATTCTGTATAACACATGCGTTATATAGATGGTATGTTTTACATAACATACCGTGTTATATATCTTCACATATTATTGTAAGATGTGTCTATTATACAGTAATTTGTATTATAGAAAATAATATACTGTAATGATATTTATATAATCTATATTATTATATATGATAAATCATTGTTTTTTGTTATTTATTTTTTAATTTATTGTTTAAATAATTTATTTCATAAATGATATCCCAGGAAGTAACGCACTCTTCTTCCTCTTCTGCATTCCCAGTGGACATGAGCCAGTCTGCGTTCAGCTGATCCCCGACTACTGCCTGGCTAC